CGGGCCCCGCCACCTGAGCACCAACAGCAAAGCCGAGGTCACCGTGTGAGGCCCGGTCCGGGCCCCAGACTATGGGGAGAGGAGCGCCGGCCCGGAAGACCAGCTCTTCCGTCTGCCCCAACTGGACTGGGGCCTTGGAGCCTGCGGGGCCTGGGTTCCTCGTGTAAATAAACCCTTTTCTGTGGTTCCCGCCCCTGAGAATAAAGGAGCCCCATCTTGGCTGCGAGATGCAGCATTGGTCATTGACTGGACAGACGGCAGTGCAGGCAGAGGGCACAGCGTGTGCCAGAGCAGGGGACTGCTCCTGAGCTGGCAGGCAGGTGAGCCGGGAGCCAGGGAGAAGTGGCTGGAGAGGATGGCCAGGGTTGAATGCCAGGCTTAATACCCACGCCCGCGAGAGCCATGGGAGAGGAGACAGTTAGGCCTCAGCCACTGCAAGGTCCAGGCACAGGATAGAGGGGTGTTGTGCCTGAGGCCCCCAGAGGGTTCAAGCCCTCTGCACTCTCCAGTTTGAGTTGGCTGAACCTGGCTGATCTCTCTGACGCTGGCTGTGGGCCAGCCTCTGGCCTGCAGGCTGCTTGGCCTGGGGCCACCCCCCTAATGGGTGTGGGCCGTGCGGACATCTGGTGCTCAGGATGGGAGCGCATCCTCCCAGGAGCTGCTCTGAGGGAAAGTGGGGTGGGGATCCTGGGGAAGGGGCCTGGGCCGTGCCCCTCCAGGTGCTCATGCACACATGCTTGGCACTGCCAGCTGTCTCTTCCTGCCAGGAGGGTTCCTGGTACCTGGCTGTGGCCCAGAGCATTGGCAGCAGCCTGCATGCATCCTCCATGAGTTTCTCCTGTTGGGGAGGCAGGGGGGCTGGGCTGTGTGGCCTGTTAAGGTGTGTGACAAAGTCACCTAGTTGGGTCTATTTCCCACCGGTGTGGTCTGCTTAAAAAAACAATGGCCACCATTTGTTGCCCTTTCTCAGTTAATCCTCACAAGAGCCTCATTGTGGGGTACGTCTTCACAGAGGAAGAAATTTGGTTTTAAGAACTGAGTGGTCCACGGTCACCCAACTGGCTCCCAGATTCAGACCCTCCTGTACTACTGTGAATCTGATGGTGGATGGTAGTGGTCTGATGGGAAGGAAGAGGATGAGTGTTGGCAGGGAGGGGCCCCTACTTCCAGAGTATAAACAGTCTCAAACCTTCCTCTTGTTTTGCTGGGCTACCCTGAGGCCCCCAAACCCACCAGGCCTGGTCTCAGCTCTTCACCTGTTGGAGGATCCACCTCCCTGTCACTTAAGGCTGTTAAGGAAACCAAGGCTTAGAAGCCCCAAACAGCCCAGAATTCATGGTCCTGCCTGCAGAGTGGCCCGCATGGTTTACAGGAGGGAAAGCCCTTAGTCTCAACTGGCGTGGGGGTGGGGTGCCCCTGGCCAGATCCCACAGCTGTGTAGAGCTGGGGGAAGAGGGTGGGTACTGGGTCATGTAGTCTGTGGAGACTCACAAAAAGATCAGGTTCCTGGATACACCCACTCTGGTGACGCAGGCCCTGTCTGGGCTGTGAGGGGAGCTGGCCAAAGCCCCTCTGCTCATTCTCAGTCCCATGGGCCCTGAATCTCCATCTTATTGCAGCTGGGTCCCACCTAGCTGCTCTGGTCTTTAGACAGTGTGGCCTGCTGTGACTGCCCTTCAAAGAGGATGTGGCTCAGAGTTGAAGGGACTCAGCCCGTTTCTCAGCCAGGTAGGTAGTGCCAGGCCAGTTCCCCCTAGGGTATCTTAAGACAAGCCTGGCCTCTCACCAGCCTCTTAAGACACTTACCCTAAACTGGTACTTTATGCGCTGTGTCACGTCATTCAAATCCAGCTGACAAGCTTATGGGACCCTAGTCCAAGGCAGGGCTTAGCCTCCCCATTCTGCACTGGAAGTGGAGGCTGAGAAGCCAGGTCCCACCCAAGGTGACCCAGCAGGGAAGTATAGGAACTGGGCGTGGATCTGACTTTGGGCTGTGTCCTCCTGAAGGTCACTTCAGGGGAGGGGAAACTAAGGAGTGGGCTACCCAGTTGGGGAAGAGATTCAACACCCCAAATCTGTCGACCCATGAGCCAGCATTGCGTTCAGGGAACAAGTGGAAACCTGGATATGGTTGGAGGCTTCTTACCCTAAGAAACACTACCAACAGCTCTCTTGTCCTAGGCCCTCACCCAGGCCTGGAGTGTGCACCAGGAACTGGATGGATGGGACAGGGTGTGCCAGTGAGCAAGGAAGACCCACCAGACTGTGAGAGGGAGGGGGTGTCCATCATACAGCCCCTTGGCTGGTCACCATAACAGTCACACTACAGACCCTCACACACCTTGTGCTGGGTGGTACCAGTCTGTGTTTATTGAATAACCTATATCCGGGACACGATGAATGACTCAACATCAAGGAAGCCATAGGTGTATCCCCTTTTTCAGTGAAAAGCCCTTCCCACCCCTAAACAATACCGAGAAAAGGCACAGTATACACACATGACACATGTGCCGGGCAGGGTCTATAAATACAGTGAAAGTGGGGGGAGGGGAGGAGATAAAGAAAGCAGGTCCAAGCATACCCCAGGGGCAGGCCCAACGTAGAGCTGACCCATTCCAGCCAGCACTCGGCATCAAGGGGACCCTGGCTGTGCACCCCCCATCTGTGGTGGAGCTCCTGCACCCTTGCTCCAACCTGCCTGAGGGGATAAGCACGGGAGGGAGGGTCTCTCTGTCTCCCAGGAGCCCCTGGGAGAAACAGCCTCTAGGGAGGCACCAAACCAGGGGATCCAGAAAAGTGGGGCCACTTTTTCTCCTAGGACCCCCATTAAGGCAGAGGACCTCATTTCTAGTGCCCATCATGGGCAACCCTTTGCCCACCCCAAAAAGAGGGGCTTGTTGCTGGGGAGGGTTGAGGGCTGGTCCCTGCCACTGGCTTATTTTCAGGTCAAGAATTAGGGATAAAAATATACAGGTTCTCCTCGACTCAGCATGGGGTTATGTCTTGATAAACTCATCATAAATGGAAATATTTATCAGTCAAAAGTACATTTAATACCCCAATAAACCCATTGTAAAGTCGATAAACTAAGCTGAACCACTGTTAAGTCGGGGACAGTCTGTACTGCAGAGGTAGGAGTTAGGGAAGGGGTAGGAGGAAACCGAGAAACCACACGGAAGGTCCCTGGCTCCCAGGCCCAGTGGGTGGCTTCATCTTTCCCAGCCCCCAGGCCTACCCTGAAACTTGGGCTGACATCCTAGGAGGCGGGGAGTGGGAAGGAACAGGACAATTAAATAAGATACCATTTATTTTTTAAAAAATTAAAAAATAATGCCGACATTATTTCATCCATCCCCAGGCCTGCCCCTGTCTCGCACCCGCCTCCCTGGGGCTGGGCTCCCCTCCATCCCTGGCTATCCTGTGGAATAAAGCGAAAACAATACACTGGCTTAGTCAGGCATGGGGGAAGGAACACAGACCCAGGGAGAGACACAAAGATGCTACAGCAACTTAGCCCTGCATCATGGCAAACCCAAGCACACTGGTATAAAAACATTCGTATAAAAAGGGGGGAGGGGCATGCTGGGCACAGTAGTGAGGGCAAATTGCTCTCTGGTGCCCAGAGACCTATGTCCCCCAGAGATTAAGCCTGATAGGAAATGAAGAAGCAAAAAGGGGAGAGAGATGTTCAGAGGAGAGAAAAACTCAAGAGGGCTGGGGGCAGGGGCTTGGGAGCTCCCCCTGCTGCTTTCAAGTCAGGGGTACCCCCGAATTCTGCCTGCTGATTTTCCTCTCAGGCCCACCGGGCCGTGGACCACAGGCATCTAGTGACAGCAGGTTTAAGGGCTCTGCCCAGGGGCCCACTGGCCTGAGGTGGTCCAGAAGCCTCAGCAGTTGAGTGTGGAACTCGAGGCTCATCCCACAGTCTTAGGGGGAGGATCCTGAGAGAGAGGGAGAGGGAGAGAGACTGAGACGGAACGGAAGGAAGATATTGAGAGAGAAAAAGTGAGAGAGAGAGAGAGACTGAGACAGAGGGAAGAAGCTGGGAGAGAGACTGAGAGACAGGGAAGATCCTTGGGGAGAGAGAGACTGAGAGACAGAGGTGGAAGGAGGTGGGCTGAGCCCGGTGGTCAGGAGGCGGCGATGGCAGTGCCACCACCCAGCTTGACAATCATCTGCTGGCAGTCGTTGCAGGAGCGCCGGTCACCCACCTTCTCCAGGGTGCGGGCAGCCTCAGCCAGCAGCACTGCCCGCTGGCCCGGAGAGGAGAGGAAGGAGAGGGGAAGGTGGCGGCAGGCCAGCAGGATGGCAGTGGCCCGCTCTCGCTGGCCGGGCCAGGCGTCCACCTCTCCTGTGGGAACGATGAGATATGTGTTGGAAGTGAGAGCCTGCCAGGAAGCCGTGCTGCTCAGAGGGCATTACATGGACTCATAACTTAACCCTCACACCCATCCCACGTGGGGGGTTTTACTGTCTTCCCTGGTTCACAGGAAAGAGGTGAACTTGGCTGGCATCCCACAGCTAGTCTGAGATGGGGCTCAGATGGAACCCATGCGGCCTGGCTCAAGGGCCCCTCTTTCTACCCCTGTGCTTGCTCTGGGACCCCAGCTCTCCCTCCCCACTCTTGGCTGGACTCATGCCCACACAACTAATGCCCACACCCATCCCTACAACCTACCAAAGCAAGCTTCAGGCTTCTTTTATTCTCAGAGGCAAGAGGCCTCTGTAGTGCATGCAGCCAGATGCGAAACTGCGCTGGGTCCCTCCCCTCCTCTCTCTTCTGAGGGTGGGACGAGGCCTGGCCTTGAGCTGGGGAGCTGGTGGACTCACCGTGCTTGGTGTTCTGAGGGGTGCGCCGCCGTAGGCTGTGCTCCAGCAGCTGGTGGGTGCGGGTGGGGCTGGCTCCTGCCATCAGGCGCACAGTGGCTTCGTGCAGGAACACCTTGGGAGATAAAGGGGGGGCATCAGTCAAGCCCCAGGTCCCTGCCTGCGTATGTCCAGTGGGTACCTCTCCTTGAGCCATCTCATCTGCCCCCTGGTGACACCCCCTCCCACACCTGCCTTGCTCAACCCCAAAAAGCAACCTCTGGTGTCCCGCACTCGGACCCTGAGATGAGCCAGAAACCTGGCTGGGTGGCTGGAATGGGGAGCAAAGCACAGGCCAGCTGGTGGGGGCAGGAGCAAGACAAGGAGACAAGAAAGAGGCAAAGGGCTTGCTTTCCTGCACTGGTGACAGAGAGCCCTGACACGCCCTCTGAGGCTAGAAGACAAGTGGTCTGCATGAAGCCTCAAGGACCTGGAGGCTGCCTTCCAGTCTGACAAAAAGACAGGTGAGGCAGGGACAGCTGGGCTGGTACCAGAGAGGCTCAGCACCATTTCCTTCCAATTCTTTAGAAGGGAAGAGTCCAGAGACTTGCAGGTGAAAGTCTGCAGCTCTTAGGTAAATGTGAGCCACGGGAAGTGGGTGAGGGGTTTGGGGATGGGGGTTTTGGGGCGGTGGTAGAGGGCAAGGTCTAGGTCTGTAATTCCTTAAAATCTCAAGCTCTTTTATACCGTAATATCTTAGTCCCTGAGGAGGGTCTTCAGTGCTGCCAGATGGACTCCTGCCCTGGCAGGTGATAGGAGCCACCTAAGGGCTCTCAGCAGGGGAGAGGCAGGATGGCAGTGGGATTTGCGAGGGGCCTTTGATGCCAGCCATGCTGTGAGCAGACAGGAGGGCCAGCCAGAGCGGGTTCCAGGGGGCAGGGGTGCTGCCGCAGGGACACACTTCCTCTTTTTCCACAGTGGCCACAGTGTGATCCTGTGGGGGTCCCGAAGCACCTTAGGGTGATGGGCATGGGGGCTGAATGCCAGCTTCCACAGCAGCAGCCTTGCTCTGAGACTTCCTTTATTGTGTGCCCTTCCAACATAGCCCATTCTTCTTCATCTCCTCACTCAAATGTTTAGAAAATAAGTCCAGGTAAAAATACGTTGAGCATGTTAATTAGCAATAAAAATACAATGAAAATGGAAATGACTGGCAAGCCCAGTCCTATAACTGTCCTCAGAGACTTATCTCAGATCCTGTGGCCACTGCCAAGGGGATAGTACTCAGAAGTAGAACCGAAGCCCCCATGACTCAGGAAAAGAATCAAAGTGAATCTTCCTTTAAATGTGGTACTAAAGAGACTCTTATCACTCTCCCAACCAGTTATGAAAGTGAGAATGGAGCTCTGGATGGGTCTGGAGTCCCTGACCACAGTGGGCAGTGTGGCCTGCTTCCTGCTGTGCTCCAGGGCCGACACACAGCAAGAAGCTGACAGATCACCTGGCTGACCTCAGAGGGTCCACTACATAACCACACACTGATGCCTGTGCTGGGTTCCAGGCCTCAGACCCTACAGACTCCAATCTGCTCTTCCTCTCCTGCCAGCTGGGCCTTACCTTGCGGTATGCTGGGCGGAAGCTGTGTGCCAGCCTGCGCAGGCTGCCCAGATCCCTCTGGAAGCCGGCCAGCTCAGCGCCTGATGCATGGTAGGTCTCGCCCAGGGCCTGGCTGGCACCTGCCTGCTTTTGCCAGAGTGCTGTCCGCAGAGACAGTAGCAGGTCACAGGTGAGCAGCTGGACCACCTGTGGGATGAGGCATGAGGGAGGAACAGGTGACTGGTGCATTCCTGAGGCAGGGATCCCAGTACCTACCAGGCCCTCCCCTGCCCAACACTTGGCAGCTCTGGGAGGAGGTGGAGAGCCCCAGAGTCCCTCCACAGGAGCGGGAGAATAGCTAAAGGGAGAACTTGTGCATTCCACAGTCCTAGGAGGTGGGAGGTTTGTTCCCCCTGCACTGCACATGAGAAAGCCAAGGCTCTGATAGGGCCGTAGCTTGTATAGGGGACACAGCACAGGCAGGGGCAGGAATGGAACCCTTGTGGGTCAAAGGTACAGGTTCTCCCACCTCATAGGAGCCCCACTATGGCTGGCCTGGAGGCTGAGTTGCCCAAAAGGTGCCAAGGAAAAGACCAAAGTGGCAGCACAGACTGGAGAAAGGAGGAGGGAAAGAGGAAAGGGGAGGGAGAGACAGGTGTCCTGGAAGGCAGAACTGCAGCGGTTTAATGCTCAAGTGTTAGGCTGACTGACCTGGACTCAAGCTCAGCTTTGCCACTTACTAGCTATATGACCCTGGCACAGACTTAATCTCTCTGAGCCTCAGTTTCCTCATCCAAAAAATGGGAATGGCGCCACAGGGCTGTTGTGTTAAATGAGATGGCACTGCGTGTGGGCACAATGCTGCACAAGAGTGGGCCACATGTACTTTTTGCTCACCACCTATGAGGGTGGGCTGCCCACATGGCTCCCGATGGCATGTCGGCACCATGCAGGGCAGTGAGGAGCAGCGAGTCCTTGAGATGGGCCGTGAGCAGCCCTTGGTTTGGGTGGACCCCCCACCAGGCCATTCCTCATCTCACCCAGCCCCAGCTTTACTCTTGAAGACACTGGGACTGGCAAAATCACTATGCAGACCCAGACCGCACCCTATCCCGCCTGAGGCCCCGACCCTTGGTCACACTGCTCGCTGGCTGTTGTCAGCCTCAAGGGGATGTGGATGAAGATCCCTCGCCTCAGACTAAAGCCGGTGCTTGTAAGATATGAGTGCTAGAGAAGCACCTCTGGGCACGGGACAGCAGGTTCCTGGATGGATTCTGCCTGAGGACCAACAGGCTCATGGGGCCTTCTTCTGGGCTCATTCTCCTCCACAGAGCAGCTCGCCAGGAACCCCAGCCCTAGGGGTGGCTGCCAGCCTCTCTCTCATTCCCCAAACTCAGGCCAGACTGTTTGAATCTCTCATGAAGACAAATACAAGAGACCAACAGAAAACCCAACTGAGAACTGAGACATAGCTTCCCATCTGCCTTTGGTCTTGGCAGCCCAGGGGTCTTGGGCCCTTTCTGTCTGCTACCTGGCCCTGTAAAGGCTGGTACACTGTCCTGGGTTCACCCCATGCCCAGGTTCACAGTCAACCTCTAGCTTCAAGTGCCAGTCTAGCAGGCTGGGGACCAAACTCCAGTGAGTGGCTGAGAATCTGACCCTCCATGACTCTCCTGTCTTTTTCTCCCTAGAGTTAAGCCCCATGTTCCACAGGAGAGCAGGTGATGTGCACTTCTACCTGTGTGCCTTCCTGCCCTGCTCTTTTTCCTGGGATAACTATGCCTTAGGACCCAATAGTGACAGCAGTGCCCTCTGACAGGATCCCCTCCTCCCAGAGTGAGGCAGTCTTGGGTCAGGGCATGGTGGGAAGTCTCCCGAGGGCCAGGCAGGCCTCTGTGATGCACTGTGGAAACATTGCACGGGTACTGCCAGAACATGCAATGCAACTACAATGCACCACAGCTGCCAGCCAGCAGGTGTGCGGCCGGCCACGGAGGCACCCAGGGTGATCAGTCGGCTCCATGTGTGTGCCTAAGGCTGGCCTGCAGAGACCTGGGGATCATGCAAACTACCTGGAGCAAATGCAGGGCCTGGCCAGCTGTGGTTCACCTGGGGCTTACAGAGGCTGTGGGTCCCCGGGATCTGGGACTCGGGGAGCCTAGGAAAGGTGCAGGTGAAAACATGCTTGCTTCAGAGACCAAAAAGGGAGCCCACCAAGGCCAGCAGGCCACACTGTTGGGAACAAGAGCTGCTAGCCTGGTTTCTCTGTCTCCTGGACAGCCCCACATGCTGGGTTGGCTCGAGGCAGGTGGAAGTGTTCTTACAGATCAAAGCAGAACACCTCCTTGAGAGGCCAGCTCAGCCCCCACTCACATGGTTGAGGGTGGGGTCAGAGGTGGCCCCGCTGACATTAAGGCTGCTCCACAGGTGACCGCTGGCCCTCTCGCAATGGCAGAAGGAGCTCTGCTGCCCATCTGCTTTCCCAGAGAGCGAGGCATGCATGGCTCTGCAGGCACGGAAGACGGCCTTCACCAGGGGGCTCCTGTAGGGACAGGGAGGTGAGAGGCAGATCAGTGTGTGTCACCGGTAAGAACAGGCAGAGGAGCACAAGTCAGCGACTACCACAGCCCAAACCACTGTGACATGTGGGTCTGTCAACTGCAATGCTGCCATGATGGCTCCAGGTAGCCAGCTCCAGAAAAGAAATGTCAGCCCTGAGCTGGGATTGGCTCCCTACCCTACAGTACCTTCCTCATTCAATGCAGGAAGGGATGAGAGACCCAGGCTCAACCACCAGGACAGCCACTAAGAAGCCATGTAAGGTGGTCATTCAAACACCTGTACTGCAGTTTCCATATCTATAAAGAGGCCATAATACTGCTTGCTACTATCTATGGGGACATATGGTACTGGCTTCATTATCTGTACTTATGAAGGGACCATTCCCCCAGAAGTCTGGTGTTAAACTCTCTGGAGAAACTAAGCTTCTTTCCATACAGCAGCCTGCGGGGAGGAAGAGGAGGTTGGGGTTGGGGGAAGATTGCCATAGCATCATTGTCCTTGAAGAGCAAAGAGATCCAGGAGTAACTGAGTCTGGAGGCAGCAATGCCTGCTGAGGCACCCTGGCTGTCTTCTGCAGCTCTGCTACTTAGAAGCGAGATGACTTAATACCTGCTGAGCCTCAGTTTCCTCAGGTGAGTTGATTGGGAGACACATAGGTCTATACAGGTGCAGGTGGTGATTAGTAGTCAGGTGGCTTAAAGTAGTATGTCTACTTGGAGGACAAGAGTTTTAGATCTACTTTCTGGAACACAGGGCTTCAAACCTGCTCACACTCACTTTTCTCAGCTCTTTCCTGTGCTCCTTGAGTCATCCTGATGGGAAACGCTACAGCTTTGGCTCTAAGGATGAGACTTCGTGAGGCCTTTCTGCCTTGTAGCATTTTACAATTTCTCTCATAAACACTCGGATCCAATTAGAAACATCAGCTTGTCGGCAGGCAGGGTTGCCCATACTAAGGGCCAAATGCCCTCAGGACACAGACATGAATCTCCAAAGAGGAATGTCAAAAGCTCTCTGGTTATGCCGTGTGCTCAAAGCTATTTTAGTTACAGGACAAGGTTGCTGAGGCAGGTGGTGGGGGCTGGAGGGTGGCTAGAAGGAACCTGGATAAAATGCTGGTTCGTAGGAGCAGGATCCTCTGGTCCATACTTGCTTCAAGGGAAACACTGGCGGGCCTCCACCATGAAGTTTCCAAAGATGCCGGGAGACACACTGTTCTTGGTCACTCCCTTTTAGCCTGTGGCACCACAGAGGCAGCAGGAGGCCCCCAGAGGCAGCACTGACAGCTGCTGGGATGACTGTGGTGCTGTGCAGGGAAGGACACTTACATACAGGATGTGCTGACCCAGCTTGGATCCTCTGTGGTGCCCTCACCCCCTTCTCTAGCTCCTCACCTGTCATGCAGTCATGACCCCTCACCCCAACATGGCCACTCAGGCCAGCTCTCTCCTGCTAACTCAAACAATCTTCCCCAGGAGAGAAGCAAATGAGTGGCTAAGGAGGCTTACGCACTCGGTCACTTCCAGGGCCTTGGGGACACGCTCGACTTTGGTAAAATGAGAGCGCACAGCTGCGTCGTCTCCCTGGAGCCAGCTGATGGCCATAGTGATTGCAGACGTCCACCACCGACAGATGATGTCTGGACCTAGAGGGGAACAACACCCAACACACTCCAGCACTCACAGAAACCAGACCTGTGGCGCTCAGTGATAGGCTGCACCTGCTTCCTATATTGTGCACAGCATCTTTACCTTCTCGCGACGGGCCAGGGGCCTCTGGGCTCCCTCTTACACAGTTCTAGTGAGAGCATCAACCAGCACAATCTTTTGGAAAATATTTGGCAATATGTATCAAGGTCTTTAAAAATGTTCACTCCTAGTAATTCCATTTTTGGCAGTCATGATCAAATTGGCTTAAAGAGAGAAAAAAGTTTAACAAAGATGTTCACTGCAGTCATTTTTTTGGTTTTGTTTCATTTTGTTTTGAAGTCAGGGTCCCATTCTGTCGCTCAGGTAGAGTGCTGTGTACAATCACAGTTCTGCAGCTTTGACCTCCCGGGCTCAGGCAATCCTCTGCCTCAGCTTCCCAAGTAGCTGAGACTATAGGCACACACCATCACGCCCAGCTAATTTTTTATTTTTGTAGTGATGAGGTCTTGCTATGACCCAGGCTGGTCTCGAACTTCAGGGCTCAAATGATCCTTCTGTTTCAGTCTCCTAAGGTGCTGGATTACAGGTGTGAGCTACTACGCGCAGCCAATGCAATGTTATTTTTTTTCATTTTTTTATTTTTTGAGTTGGAGTCTCACTCTGTCACCCAGACTGGAGTGCAGTGTCTGCTCCCGGCCACCGCAGCCTTGACCTGCTGGGCTCCGGCGATCCTTCCGCCTCGGCCTTCCAAATAGCTGAAACTATAGGTGCGCTACCATACCCAGCTAATTTTTGATTTATTGTAGAGATGAGGTCTCACCAAGTTGCCCAGGTGGGTCTCGAACCCACAGGCTCAGGCAATTCACTCACCTCAGCCTCCCAAGGTGCGGGATTACAGGCTGAGCCATCAAACTCGGCTATGCAGTGTTATTTTTAAGCAAAAGTTTGGATACAACCTTAATTTCCAATGATCATAAAGAATGGTATCTTCAAAGTAGCTGTAACAGGCTCATGTTAGTGTTTTAAGCTCTTATATAGTTAGTGTTTTCCTCTCTCGGTGTTAGTGTTTTAAGCTCTTATATAGTTAGTGTTTTCCTCTCTTGGCCTTACTAATCTTAACTGCAAAACTAAGATATTAATGATCTGACAAAGCCAGTGGGGAGTAATATAAAAGTCATAAGAGCACATGCTTTTCCAAACCCTAAAATTCCAAGAGGCCACAAAGTCAGCGGTCATGATGGGGTGGCTGCTTTTCTGGGATCCCTCCCTCTCCAGGGAGAGTGGCCAGCAGGTGGTCAAACTTCCCCCATCTTCCCCAGTGGCCTCAGAAGCCCAAGAGTTTGCAGCAGATATGCGATCCTTCTGATGGCGTTTTATTTTTTTATTTTTATTTTTATTTTTTTTTGAGTTGGAGTCTCACTCTGTCGCCCAGACTGGAGTGCAGTGGCCGCTCCCGGCCACCGCAGCCTCGCCTGCTGGGCTCCGGCGATCCTTCTGCCTCAGCCTTCCGAGTAGCTGGAATTACAGGCACGTGCTACCACGTCCGGCTGATTTTTTTGATTTATTGTAGAGAGGAGGTCTCGCTGCCCAGGCGGGTCTTGAACCCATGGGCTCAGGCAATCCACTCACCTCAGCCTCCCAAAGGCGCGGGATTACAGGCTGAGCCACCGAGCCCAGCTCTGATGGCGTTTTAGAAGCAGAGAATGTCCTGGTGTCAGTGCAGTCAGTGGGTTGCATGATGACACCCGAGGCCAGAGAGTGGCAGAGACGCTGAGATGAAAGGTCTCTTCAGCAGAGAGTGTAAGACCCTAGAGCAGCCAGGGGGCCGGTGGGGGCAGCACTGTGCATCTGAAAGGTGAGGCTCCAGCATCCCTGGTGTCTGGACTACTTGTTGCCTGTTCTTCTGAGCATTTGGGAAAGCTCTTGAGCTGGCACACACAGCCAGAGTTTAAGGAAGACAGTCGCTCACTCATTGTCCCACTTCTCTGAGAACAATTATTTCCTGCCTCCAGAGGTACTGCCCAGAGAAGGTGACTATGAGTTGCATGGGGACCACAGATAGGAACGTGGGATCCAGAGACGATGCCTGAGTACACACTCATCACTGACCCCTGGGGCAAAAGGGCTGTGAAGGACTGAGTCAAACCCCTGAGACTACAACTACCCGCAGATACTTACCAAGGGCAGACTTGAGCACGGAGCTGCTGGAGAGTGGGGAAGTCACAATCCCCACAGAATCCACAAAAGAATGAAGTAATTTCAGGTACTCCAGAGCACTGGAAAATTCACTAGAAAGAAAAGAGAGGCCCATGTACATCAAAATATATACAAGGACCACACCCATGGCCTGGCTGTTCAGCTGTCCAGCTCTAAGACCCAATGACCATTTCTGGTCCTTTCTCCCTGTCATCCCAGCACACTCAAGCTCTGCCCCCTGACACCATTCACACATTCCACAGACCTTCCTTCCTCACATGTCTCTGGGCTATCACTGACATTCTTCACACTATCAGGAGGGCCAGCCTTTCTCTATCATGCCTCCCCAGCCAACCCTGACCCTTCCCCTCAAGGTCCAACTCCAATGGCATCTCCTCCCAGAAACTTTTTGATCTCCCAGGCAGAACTGGCCCCTCCCTCCTCACATGCACCCCAGTCAGGACCCGGGCCTGATGCGCAAGTGACTATAGCACCTGTCTGCCTCTAAAGTCTGACACTGTGAAGGAAAGACGATGCTCAGTAACTATATAAGAGCTAAAAATTGCCTGGCACACACAATGAGGTACTGAGTCCCCAAGACGTCCGGCCAGAGGTATCGGTCTTTTGCTGAGCTCTCCACAATCCATTCCTCTCCCTTCTCAACAAGCCATTGCTTCCCATTCCAAAAAGCAAAGCAAACTAAGCAAATTCCCAACGTGTCCCAAGTACTGACCCACTTGGTGAAGGGATACATAAAAAGGGACATACTTGGTCTAGGAGGAAAGACCAGGTCAGAGCTCATGCAGGGTTCTCATTTTTGAGAAATAAATACAAGGGAATCGTTTGGTTTCTTGGCCAAGTTGGCACTAGGTCTTGTATCTGCTAAGAGCGCAGGCCTTAAGGCTGCCCTTGAGCTCCTGGGAGGACAGGCCCTGAGGCAGGGGAGCAGCCAAGGGACTTTACCAGTTCTCTTCTTCTGGGTCGCCAGCCTTCTTCTTGGCCTGAGGTTTCACCAAGGACTCCACAGCTCGCTCTAGCAGGTTCTTACAGAAGGCCTGGTGGACTTGAGCAATGGGGTCAGCTGGAAGAGACACAGGCAAGGTGAAGGGTTAAATGGGTCTTATTTATGAGTCCATTTTGTCTTTACAGAGAAAATACGATGGGAAGAGGAACCCAGGAAACATCTATGCCCTGTGAATGGGGATCAGATTCCACTTCTAAACCAAATCTCAGAACTATTATGTGGAACAGTCAGAGGCTGGGGGAGGGTATTCACGCTCAGACTGAAGAGCCCAAGACTGTGCAGTTCTGGATAAGCTCCAGCGGGGAGCAGGAGTAGGGGAGAGTGTTGTGGCTTCTGGCATAGTGCTCAGTACTGTGGGTTGAGAGCTGCAAGTTGGTGGCAGTGAGCCTGGGCAGAACACGGAAAGGTAGACAGCTAGCCTAAGTCTCAGAGGCTGTCTCTTTTCCTTATGGCTTAGGAAAACAGCCAGGCAAAGAGAAAAAGGTGGTAGCTTCTGCCGTGCTCATAGCAATGGAGAACCTATTCCTGTTTTTCCAGAGCCTTGTCATGGAACCTAAGATCAGCAATGACCTGACTGAGCTGATTAGACAAGGGGCCTTGCGACATTTGCAAAAGATGACTGTCACAAACAGGTCCCCTACTGGCAGGCCCAAATCACGGTGTCACCAGCCCCATCTCCCCTTTCATATGTGGCAGACATGTGGGCCTTGACCTGATGAAGAGGAGGAGGAGGGACACTTATGAATACATGCAGGGTGACAAAGTCTAGAGTCAGAAACTGCAAGAGGTGAAAAGTCAGTGAGAAATCTATGGTTAGCCAGTGGGGTTGGGCAAAAAGGTTCAGAATTGCTTTTGCTTTTATCCTTTATTCTGTGGTGTCACACACAATTCTCATATTGAGCACTGTTAATATTTTAAAAAGAAAGGATAGCAGACCCCCCAATGTTTGATATACAGCCCTGTACCTGCAGAACCTCTCTCTCCCCACAGAGGAGGGAAAAGTACAGCAGAAAGCAGTGAGCCACTGAGCACTCAAGGTCTAAGTCAACCCCGACTGGCCTCTCTGCTCCAAGGCTGGGTGAGTCGACTCCAATCACTATCAAATGCCAGGGAGAGAAAGCCAGCACCTCCTTCCGATGCCTGGAGCTCCGTCCCTGTCACCACTCTGAGCATTTGATGACCGCCTGCCACCTATTGTTCCCTTACTCTCCATATATGTCTGTCTGCTCTCCCAATGGGACAGGAAGACCTGGAGGCCAGGAACAGCAAGTCCCATCCTTTGTGTCTCTAAAGCGCCTAGAACAAGGGCTAAGAGTACAGTTGGTGCTTAATCACAATTTATTACTGTGCGGCTCTGTGATGTAAGGACCACGGGCTTTGAGTATCACACAGAGCAGAGTGCTCACCCAGCTCAGCTGCTGATAGTCTCTGATCAGGTTTGTGACCTGAGGTAAGTTATTTGACCTCCTTGATCCTCAGTTGTGTGTCTCTGGTGCACAGTAACCCTGCAGTACTAGTGGCTCTCACGGCTTTCTCCAGTTGCTGTGGGGGTGTTCTCACCTGGGTTCCTCTGGGCACAGTACAGACTCTCCTTGGCAGCCGACTTCACTGACCAGCTCCGCTCCATGAAGAACTTCTGGCCCAGGGGGTGGCAGAGCCAGCGCAAGGAGTCAGGGACTGCACTGTGCTCGGAACCACACAGGCTCTGGGCTCGACTTAGGAAGTAGCTCTGTGGAAGGACAAGGACCAGGGGTAATATCAAAGTGGCAAAATTCTGGCTGTAGCCACTGTGGGGCCACAGAAAGCACCATGCTGGAGGTAGGCTCAAGCAGAGATGGGGAAAAAAGATTAATGGACGGCTAGGACCTTCACGAGCCATGGAAGTAAACCCCACCACTTAAACTAGGGCAAACACGCCAGTGGAGCCAGCCAGGCATGGTAACCAGGTTGAAATCCCAGCAGGAGGGGAGGTAGGCTGCAAGGCACTTGCAGGGCCCTGACTGCCTCCTGTCCTGCTGTGGTTGCCTAACCCTACTGCAATCTTGTTTTCACCCTGCCAGCATTCAACCTGTAGGGCGAGCTGGAGGTAGCTTGCCAAGGAGGGGTCCCAGAGGCCCCTTGGCTGCTGCATATTACCCTCAGCCCCATGAGTGCCAAGTCAGGTAGCCCCTTCTTCTCATCTGTCATTTTAATTATTTACATATCTTTTAGAGTTTAGAACAGTGCTGGGCATACAGCCAGCAGTCACGGTCACATCTGATAGCCCCAGAGTGAAGGGGCAGTTGGAAGGCTCACCTAGGACCCATGCAGGGATGTGTGTGTGTTTGTGTGTGAGAGGCCCTTCCCTAAAAGCAGGCCCCTACAGAAACCCCCACACTACCTCTACACAGCCCCTGACATAAATGCCAGCCTGCCAGGAAAGACCAACTTTGAAAACTTGGATGGATTTAGAGTCTATCATACTCAGTGATCTATCACAGAAACAAAGAACTGAGTATCACATGTTTTCAATCATAAGTGGACCCTGAACATTTATCATAACACTATAAGAAAGGAATTGGCAGTAGTGGGACACTGCCAGGAGAGGCGGGGGGCACATAACATCACCAAGCATACCAGATCCTAAATCAGACGAAGTGAGGACCAAAGGGAGACGCAAACTTCCCCTGTACCACTTATGTACCTAATCCTAACTTGTACCCCACATCTTTAAAATAAAATATATGAAAAACAAAACCCCTTTGCCAGGTAATTCAAAGAGCCAGTGCCCCAGTGTCCTCCACCTACCAGGATAACATCATTTCAGGGTCCCAGTGACAAAAATTATGAGGACAATGCTGTCTATCACATGTTTTTAGAAGTTCTGTCATTTTTCCAGTGAGGATGTCTTCACTCTAACATCCACAGTTTCCAACACAGAAAACTGCTTGAAGCAAGCCAGTGTGAACAAGGAGCTAAGCAGAGAAGGACAAGAGGGAGGGAGAAGCACAAGACATAGAGCGTTAGGGAGACCAGCAGAGGGGCTACTGGCCAAGGCCCACAGACCTCGGCCTCTGTGCTCCTGCCCTCGCCTCCACAAGGAGGGTGGTTGTTTCACAGTCTGGTTCAGTCTGCTGGGTCTGACCTTTAGTGGGCTCTAAGTAGCCATCAGCTAATGTAACAGCTTCAGAAGACTTGAATGCCAGGGTCAGAAATAGCATCACCAAAGCACCACTCAAGGACACAGACAGAGGAGACTGTCTCTCTCAGGGAACCTGGAGACAGCTGCCCTAATCCAAGAGAGAACAACACGGCCAAAGTGCTCTATGGACATACTATATATTTCCATGGCAGCTTATGGGACGAGGTGGGGCATTTCACTTAAAATTCCTATCATGGGGCCAGTGGCACTAACCATCTTCCTCTATGCTGACCAGTTTTGAGAAAAGGATATTAGAGAACAAATGTAGAGGAACCCCCATGGCCTTCTGCCAACCCTCCACAAAGCACTCACTCTAAATCTGAGCTAATAATTCCAACGGTGGGAGAACAGGAGCTGAGAGGCTAAGCCAGGACAGAGGCTGGGGGGATTCCAAGGCTTCTGAGATCTCAGAACCTTCTAACAGTTGGCCCCAAATCACTCTCCAAGAACAGCCTGCTCTACACGCCTGACCAGCAATGGAGCCTGGTGGTTGCTCCAAGGAAAACCGAGGACCAATTTGCTCCCTTAGAAGGGCCCAAATCTCACATACATACAGAAGCAGAAACAAAGACTGGTTCAGATCATATGGCAAGAGGAACCCAAAGAGGCCAATGAGGAAACCATTAAAATGATTAAATGATTAGAATACTTTTTTTTTTCTTGAGTTGGAGTCTCACTCTGTTGCCCAGGCTGGAGTACAATGGCACACTCACGGCTACTACAGCTTCCACCTGCTGGGCTCAGGTGAGCCTTCTGCCTCAGCCTTCCAAGTAGCTGGAACTATAGACACGTGCCACCATGCCTGGCTAATTTTTTGAATTATTGTAGAGATGAGGTCTTCCCAAGTTGCCCGGGCCAGTCTTGAACCCCTGGGATTAGGCAATCGTCCCTGCCTCTGCCTTCCAAAGTGCTGGGATTACAAGCATGAGCCACCGTGTCTGGCTTTTTTAAAGTTTAATTCTTTTTTTTTTTGAGACAGAATCTCACTCTGTCACCCAGGCTGGAGTGCAGTGGCACGCTTACGGCCACTCCAGTGTCGACCTGCTGGGCTTCGGTGATCCTGCCGCCTCAGTCTTTCAAGTAGCCGGAACTACAGGTGTATGCTACCAAATTTGGCTATTTGTTTTTGTAGAGACAAGGGCTTGCCAAGTTGCCCAGGTGGGTCTTGAACCTGCAGGCTCAGGCAATCCACTCGTCTCGGCTTCCCAAGGTGCTGGGATTACAAATTGAACCACAGAGCATGGCCAAAGCTTAATTCTTAAAAAAGAAAAACTCTTAGTTATAACAGATCTTGGGGAGGGAAGAGCTTGAGTTCAGTGATTTGAACTAATAAGAAAGATAAATTCTGGGTTACAGTCATCCACAGTATGGCTTCTGTAAGGGAAATTGAGAAAATAACTTTTGTTATTCTTTTAATTCTCTTAGTGTTACAGCCCTACATTAATTTTCCTAAAAACTTTAATTTTCCTAAATTTTACAGACACCAGAATTCTCCCAAGCTGGGGCCTAGGAGCCTCTCCTGTATAACTCATCTGCTAACTGTCTGATGTGAGAGAAGCTGTGACAGGAGACCCAGAACTACTTAGATCCTGAAAGCCACCCAGTGGCCCTGAGCCAGTCTCAACTCTAGGTTGTGTCTCCCAACACCAGTCTAACCCTATGGCTCTCAAATTGTGTGCCAAAGCATCCTGAAGTGCCACAGCAAGCATGCAAGGGAGACATAGGATATTTTATTTTATTTTATTTTTTGAGTTGGAGTCTTACTCTGTCATCTAGGCTGGAGTGCGGTGGCATGCTCAAGGCCACTGCATCCTCAACCTGCTGGGCTCAGGTTATCCTTCTGCCTCAGCCTTCCAAGTAGCTGGAACTACAGACATGTGCCACCACACCCAGCTAATTTTTTGATTTATTGTGGAGATGAGGTCTTGCCAAGTTGCCCATACTGGCCTCAAACCAATAGGCTCAGGCAATCCTCTCACCTCAGCCTCTCAAAGTGCTGGGATTATAGGTGTGAGTCACTACACCTGGCCAAATTTTTTTATTTTAAAGATGTGGGGTACAATTCAGGATTAGGTATATAAGTAGTCATCATATAGATAAAGTTTGGGCCTCTCCTTGGTCTTCACTTTGCCTGGTTGGTTATTTAAAATTTTTGAGGAAAACAGTGATGCTCAGCACTAATTGTACATTGTATAAACTACTAGATGTAGACAGTTTGTAGTCTCAGTGTGAGGTCACACTACTTTTCTATGGATGATGTCATATCTTTGTGAGACTGAGTTTTTGGAGGCTATTGTGATAAAAGTCAAGTACTGTGTGAAAATCAGTATGGAAAAGGAAAGAGGATGGTGGTAGCCAATCTGATTCCAAGGTTTGAGAAGGTGTGCAGTGCTCAATAGGAACAAGCATCCCATTAGCAAGTAAGCAATTGTAGTTATTAAGAATGAAAAGTATTTCTTTTCTTAAAATTTATTTTTATTTTTTAGAGACAGGGTTTCGCTATATACCCAGGCTGGTCTCAAAATCCTGGCCTCAAGTGAGTCTCCCACCTTGGCCTCCCAAAGTGCTGGAATTACAAGCATGAGCTACCATGCATGGCCAAAACATATTATTTCTTTCAACTTCATGTATGCTTTTTTTTCCCAATGGCTACTAAGCTGTTAAGACATAAGTACCTATTAAGATGTTCAAAACTGCTGGGCACAGTGGCTCAAGCCTGTAATCCCAGCACTTTGGGAGGCTGAGGCGAGAAGATTGCTTGAGCTCAGGGGTTCGAGACCAGTCTGGGCAACTTAGTGAGACCTCATCTCTACCATAAATCAAAAAATTAGCTGGGCTTGGTGGCACATGCCTATAGTTCCAGCTACTTGGAAGGCTGAGGCAGAAGGATCACCTGAGCCCAGCAGGTTGAGGCTGCAGTGGCCATGAGTGTGCCACTGCACTCCAGCCTGGGCGACAGAATAAGACTCCAACTAAAAAAAAATGATGTTCAAAACTAACTACTTAACAAACAGAACTGTTAGGTATTCAACCATTTTCACAGGTCCCCAGTGCCTCGTTCATTTGCTAGCTAAATATATCTCACCAAATTCAAAGCTTCTTCCCTTTTAAAAAAGTACTGTTGGGGAATCTGAACTATGCCCTCCCAAGAGAAGTAAGCAGAAAGGAGCAGATACTTTAGAAATGACAGTTCTCCTTTTTCTATCTTACTGAATATGTAAATTTGGCAATACTATTAAAGTTTCAAATACTTATATCCTCTGACACAGCATCAGCATCTCTAGAGATTTAGTCTCAGGAAGCTCTTGTAGAAGTGGGTGAAAATGATGTACAAAAATGCTCCTGGCAGCAATGATTGGGAACAACCCAAATGTCCATCAGTAGCACCAGGTATCTCTGCAAAATAAAGAGGCTATAAAAAAAGATACCCAGCCGGGCTCGGTGGCTCAGCCTGTAATCCCGCGCCTTTGGGAGGCTGAGGTGAGTAGATTGCCTGAGCCCGCGGGTTCGAGACCCGCCTGAGCAGGTGAGACCTCATCTCTACAATA